ACAAGCAAACAGAAAGGACACTGTTGGGTGGGAGGTGGGAGAGGGAGGAGGGAGGGGGGTTTCGGTAATGGGCCACAATAATCAACCTCATTGTATATCGACAAATAAAATTAAGAAAAAAAAAAAAAGAAAGAAATAATTTTAAAGAAGATCAAATAAATAAATAAATAAACTGAGCACTGAACAAATCACAAAAAAATAAATAAATAAAAATAAAAATCTAGGCTAAGAAAAGGACCAGTACAAGGGTATTTTTTAAAGTTCGTGGAAAAATGGAATAAAAAGATAATATGAATCTTTCCACAAACTTTTTGAAGATCCCCTCACACACTGCATTGCTAAAATCTAACTGAAAACACTTCAATTCAGTCTAACATCCACTATAAATTCTTCTTGAGTGATTACTTTTAATGGAGTTAGTAGTCTGTGTTACAAGGCATTCCAAATGAATATTCACATCAGCCAATAAAATATGAGTATTTTTCCACTGTGCCTTTCTATGTATTACTAGTATTGTCTCTGAGGATTCTTAAAAGTCAAACTCATAACAGACACATATGTAAGTTAGGTAGGTTATATATTCAATCTTCAGAAATGGATCACATAATCTATTTTGGAAATATACTTTAAAAAGGAGAGAGCCTGCTACCAAAACTGCATAGTATCTCACTAGATCTTTGGAGGTCAGTTTTATACTTAATTCACTTATTTTTTATGGCCATCCATACAACATGAACCTATAGACAATATAGTCTAACATTCACAATCTGACCACTTCAAAATGCCCTTTACCTCAAAAGAGCTAAGTACATTTTTAGAACCCAGTAAAAGTTCATTATAGCCTTAAGTGATCCTAATTTATTTCTCAGGCCCATCATTTTTAAACAGAATCCTCTTTGGCATTCAATATTTTTGCGTTACTTGAGGTTTGTTCTTGTTGGTTTTTAGTGTCAGTCAACAACCAATAATCTATTACATGCAAAACCACCACAAAGCACAAATACCTATAGTGGAAACAGTGCTATTCTTAAGAATCAAAATACCTAAATTCAAATCTAATCTCTAGAAATCACTAGACCTCACTTAACAAACCTTAGTTTCTTCACAGAAGACTCTTAAGTATCAAATTAGAAAAGTATTGCCTTCACCCCCCAACAATTATTAAACAGAAATACAATGAATTATATCTACATTTTTAAAATGAATTACAGAACACTTATTACTAATATAGCATTTTATAATACAGCAATAAACAATCTAGATAAAAGAAAACACACTGTTACTCTCACAGACTAATGAAGTAGTTTAATTTGGCAACCCAAGCAAAAAGCTTAAAAATCTATCTCTTTGACCTGATAATTCCACTCCTTAGAATATGTTTCAAGAAAAAAAATTTTTTTTTCTTCCTTTTTTTTTTTTTTTGTCTTTTTTTGTGT